CTTCTTTTGCCTCTCTTATCTTGTTCCCACATTAATGTAATTTTTTACATAAAATTTCTGTGCTCATTTTTAAATTATGTTTCTTTCTCATTTTGACATGGTGAGGTTTGTTATGTAACCCAGGTTGATCTCTAATTCAGAATCCACCTTCCTCAATTTTAGGACAGTCCAGATTATAGGTGTACACTACCTTACAAGGCTTCTCTATTCATTAATGGTATTTGCTTTAATCTCTTTCTTTTCTTGCAATATTTAACTTTACTCCTATTTTCTATTTTTCAGGTTCTTCTTGATTATCCTTAATCAATATTTCTTTCTATTTTATTAACTTATTATGATGATTTTGCTTTTCAATTCATTTATTATATATCATTTTTGTTGTTTTTCTTTTCTATGATACTTGGTAATTCAGTTGTTTCAAATGGTTTTTATTTTATTTCTATATTCAATTTGCTTTGGCATTATTATGGTTGCTATGATCTCTTCTGTGTTTCTAGAGAAGAAATCAACTGCATAAGAGAGGCTGTTCAATAAGAAGAAAAAGTGGAAGAGAAGAGGCTGAAGACATGGATCAGTGGTTAAGAGTACTGTGGGCTGCTCTTGAAGAGGAACTAGGTTCAATTCCCAGTACCCACATTGCAGCTAACAACCACCTGTAACTCCAATTCCTGGGAATCTGATGCCCTCTTCTGATCTCCATGGGCATTGCACAATATGGGTGCACTTACCTATAAGCAGGGAATACACTCATGCATATAAAAATAAAATAAATAATGTTTTTAAAATGAAAGAGCAACATCTATCTCCAAACATATGAAAACCCTATCAAAGTATAAGAAATATGAAGAAACAGGACAACATAAATTCCTCAAAGGTTCATAGATCTTTGGTAATTGAATTAAAAGATATCAAAGTATGAATCACCAGAGAATACTTAAAAATATAACATTAAATATGGCTGCTGATTAGAAAGTGGACATAAATAAACAGCAGAGTGAATTAAGGAAGGCAAAGAGGGTGTGGAAAAATAATTCGCAGCCAGAGCAAACAGAAATCTTGGAATTGAAATCTCAATAATTCAAGTAAAAAAGAAAATCAGCTGAAACCTCACCAGAAACTTGGATAAGATTAACAGGGCTGGAAAACAATGTTGATTAATTACCATGTTCTGATAGTAAACAAAAACTGATTAGAGCATGGTAGACCTGATAACATTAAGAGATCAACCTTAAGAACAATGCATAGTTAAAAATACATGGGTATTATACTAAAAATATAGAAAACCTATTAATTGAAATAATAGTGAAAATTTTCTCAAATTTGGGGAAACACTTGGACATCAAAAAACTGAAACCCAACAGACATAACCAGAAATGATCTCCACATCATATTACAGTACATGCACTGAGACAAAGGAGAGCATAATAAATCCAATTGTCTAACATTCCCACCATCAAGCCTTACTATACACATAATGTGAATTTAAAAGGGTGTACACAGTATTGTTTACACAATGAAACTACCAATAAATACGTAAATAATTTTTTACACGAGCACTTACTTTCATAAGAAGTAAGGTCCCAACCACAGAAGAAGATAGACCTCAAAAAGCCCTATCCATAATTCATAGTGAGGGTGTGGGCACGGTTCAAATGTCGCTTCCTATTCGGGATTCTGTGGAAATGAGATGTTTGGCCTAAAATTCTTGACTTATTCAAGAGGGACACATCCTAGCCACTTGCAAAATCAACAACAACAAATCAAAGCTTTCTGGGAACTCTCTTACACTGGAACAAGAGGACTTGTACACTTCCACTCCTGGAGTTCTTTTCAGAGGAGCAGGTGCACAGGGGGTGGGGGAGGGGAGGCAGAAGAGGAAGTCCTGGAAGAGGAAGACCCGGATTTCTGGTTCTCTGGCAGGTGGTGGCAGCGAGACCAGTAGTGGTGGCGGCGAGACCCTGGTCTTCGAGGTGTGGCCTCCAGTCAAGTAAGAGGGTGTTCAGTTCTTTTCCCATGACTTAAAGAGTACCTCGAGTTAAGACTGTGTTAATCCTAAACCCTGGTGAATTCCTTCTAGAAAGGAGACCTCATAGGCTCTGCCCCCTGCTTGGTCCTCTCAAGAGCACCAGAACATGGTGGTTAGATCCAGAGGCCATTAACTTCCCCAAGTGTCTCAAGGAACGGAGCCCTAGGCAGGAGGCTGGTGGACTCATGAAGCAGAAGGGGAAATTTTGGGGTCCTCGTGTATTACAGATAAGCTTATCAAGAAGATCTGCAGGATTTCTTCCTCCAGAACTGGTTGGGTCTGGGGCAGACGAGGTAAACTCTGCCTTAGTGTGATATCATGAGTAGTCAGGGCAATCCTAAAGCCTGGAATACTTACCACCTTACATTGGTCTTTGGGAGAATCGAGAGGTGGGAGCTTTCTTTTGTCTCTGTGGGAATCACACCCTGACTAACAGCTGTTGCTAGGGCCCTAAAATGTCTCCCCTCATGCCAGCCCTGGGAGTCACGGGGTCCAAAGTAGTGACAGTGAAAAGCTCTTTAATGTTTTCTGTGTGGAACTAGGGTGGTTTGTAGTGTGAACTTCAGAGTAGCAGAGGGAAGTGGGGATCCAGGCTTTACCAATGATGCCTAGGTGGTTGTGACGTAAACAATGAGAATTCCGAATCTTGATTAGAGAAAGCAGTCCTTTCTCTTATGCCAGGAAGCCCCAAACTTTAACCTAACAAACTATTTCCTCTGCAGGGATCTCAGGAAGCCTGCTGAGGAGGAGAACACGAATCTGATGTATTTCCAGAAATGTGCTTTCTAGGAAAGCCGCCTTAAAAGAGAGAGTATGCTCTGTCTTATTAGGGTATTGTGCTCATAAGTTGTCATTTTACTCCCTCCAGATTCCATCCTTGCCAGCTTTCCTGACTGCAGTCCTGTTTGCTCTGTCTGAGCTCAGCTGTCATGCCTAGGGGCCACAAAAATAAGGGCCGCTTTCATGCCAAAAGTCTTCCTGCACGGGGCGGGGGGGGGGCAGGTTAGCCAGCGTGCTCAGCCAGCTGCAGAGGAGGAGCCAGCATCTCCTCCTGTTGTCCAAAATGATACCTCAAGCTCTGCTGATGCCCACACCCCCCAGGGAGCTGCATCCCCTAGTTTTCCTGATGCAGGCGTGTCCTGGACAGGATCTGATGTAGATGCTAAGGGTTCTAATACAGGTGCTGATGAGGAAAGTTCAAGTGTCTGCCAGGCAGCACTCCCCAGTCAGCCAATATGCAGAGATATTCTCACCAGGAAAGCCAGTATCTTGGTTGAGCTCCTGCTGCAGAAATTTCGGAAGAGTGAGTACTTTACAGTTGCTGACATGCTGAAGGTGGTCAGCAAAAACTTCAAGACACAGTTTCCTCACATTCTTAGAAAGACCACCAGTCGCATGGAGTTGGTTTTTGGCATGCAGCTGAAGGTAATCAATTCCACTAACCACTCCTATGCCCTTGTCAGCAAGCTAGGCCTCTCTGCTCAAGAAATTCTAAGTGGCAAGAGAGGTTTGGCCAAGATGGGTCTCTTGATGACCATCTTGGGTGTGATCTTTACAAATGACAATCGTGCCAGCGAGGAAGTGATCTGGGGATACCTAAATGTGTTGGGAGTATATGCGGGCAGGAAGCATTTAATCTTTGGGGAGCCCTGAAGTCTCATCACCGAAGATCTGGTTAAGCAAAACTACCTTGAGATCCACAAGGTGCCTGATAGTAATCCACCAAGCTATCATTTCCTGTGGGGTTTCCACTCCCACATTGAAAGGAGAAAAATGAAAGTTCTGGAAGTTTGTGCTAAGATCAATGATACTGTTGCTAGTGACTTTCCAAGTCAGTATCAAGAAGCTCTTAGAGATCAAATAGAGAGAGCGGAAAGGAGAGCTGCAGCTTTGGGTTGCCCAGTTGCTAATACCAAGGTTTCACCCTCCTGCAAGCCTGGCAGCTCCTCCCACACTTAGCTGCAATTGAGTACAATTTCTATATCCTGCTTAAAAAATTGTCAGCTTTCTATGTAGTGCAGGATTTATGGGCTACTGCAACAAAATATTTGTCTTTTTTTTTCTGTTATACATGAGTAAATTACAAGCATATTTTCTTTGTTGCTTTCCAAATGTTCCTTTGACGTAAAATTAACTTGTTTCACGATCTTTGTTTCTTGATACCATGCTTGACACATCTCTTGCTACATGTCAATTTAAAACTAAGAATTTTGTTGCTTTAAAAATGAATTGGAAATTCTTTGCAAACTTCAATATTGTATAAGTAACATGGAACTGGAAAAAGCATACTTTCTTTGATATGCGATGTCAGAAGGGGATGAAACAAAAGTAAATTGATAAACTCCTAATTGACTGTATGGGTTTGTCTTTTGTTTGAAATATCCATTGAAATAAACTTGGATTTGGCTACTTTACTCAATGTATGAATTAGAAAACTGAAATAAACTTGTTATTCACTCCATCAGTGCTTCATTATTTTCCTAAATATTATTTGAGCCTCTGATGTTTGGGCAATCCCCCAGTTGGTACTCAAAATGATAACAAAAAAAATCTATATAATGTCCATAGGAGTTTAGAGCATAGCAATAGCTACAAATAAGGAAGCAGATGTGATGTGAAGATAAGTAAAAAGAGACTATGAAGAAAAGTTTCCAGATTCAAGAAAAATATAAATTATTTAATTAAGGTAATTTAGAGAATAAGGAATTGCTATATTCAGTGTAAAGTAATTTCATTAAGGACACAGTCACAGGCAGAGATGGGGGAGTGGTGAGCAAGGCCCAGTCCTTCAGATGGTGCATCTTTCAATAGAGAGACTAACTTTGGAAAAGGAAACCCATCTTAAACATGCTTTGGAATGTAGAGCACACCAGGATTAAACTTCCACCTGGGATAGGGATGTTAGGAATCTAGGTGCTGGTGCTAGTGCAGATACCACACAGAAGATACAAACAGGATATCCAGGGATTTTCTGACAACTATGTGTGATACTCTCTTGAGAAGAGGTATCAAGATGCCACTCAACTCTTTATTTTCAGTAGAGCTATATCCTGTTTCATTAAAGGAATTTGGGGGGGTCTTTTTTGAGAGAAGGTCTCCCTACAGCCCCAAATGACCTGGAACTCACTATGTAGAGCAGGCTGGCCTCCATCTCACAGAGATCCACCTAGCCCTGCCTCCAGAATTCTGAGACTAAATGTGTGTGCCACCACATCTGGCTAAACGGCTTTTTTCGTGCATATGTATGTAGGGTTGGAGTATGTGTTGTACATCCATGCACGTGCGTGCGTGCGTGTGTGTGTGTGTGTGTTTATACCAATGGGAAGAGGCTAAGAGAACATTCAGACATCCAGTGACCTCCTTTATCACTCTCCTCATTACATGAAGACAGGGTCCTTCACTGATCCTGGACCTATGGTAGTAGCTAACAAGCTCAGGAATCCTCTTGTCTCTGTTCCCCATCATCATGCTTGAGTAGCAGGTGCCTGCTGCTGCAAACCTAGCTTTTTACATGGTGGTTGAGTATTTGAACTCGGGCCCTCATGCTTCTGTAGCAAGTGTTTTTCCATGCTGAGCCATCTCACCAGTCTGGAAAAGGACGTTTTTTTTGTTTTGTTTTGTTTTTTGTTTTTTGTTTTTTTTTTTTTTTTTTAAAAAAGATTAATTTTTAATGAATTAAAAAATTGTTTTGTTTTGTTTTTATGGTTTTTTGAGAGAGGGTCTCCGTGTAATTCTAACTGGTCTATAAATCTCTAGACCAGCCCTGCCTCAACAGCCACCTGGATCTGGCTCCCAAGTGCTGGGATTAAATGTGTACATCACCACAATCAGCTATTTAATTATACGTGTATGTGTATATGTGCCTGAGTGAATGCATGTGCAGTGCATGTGTACAGGCTGATATTGGAAAGCAAAACCTGGGTCTTCTGGAAGAGCAGGAAATACGCCTTATCACTGAGCCAACTCTTCAGCCCTCAGGACACAGACATTTTCATCAGGTTGCATAGAATACAGTGTATCATACTCCAAGGGAATGATGAAATTAATACAAATGTGTTTGAATTGAAAAACAAAGGAAGGTGGTGTGCCCTTGATACAAAATAGGAGTTTTGAGTTCCCTGCAGCTGGAAAAAAACAAGTTCAACTCCAAATTAAACATCATTGTTTAAATGAGAAACACTCCTTAGTTTTATTTGTTGAGCATCATTTTGGCTGATCTATTCTGTGGGCTTGAATGAGGTCCAAACTCCAGTGACAGGAAAGAAAGCGGAGTGGGGGGGGGTGTCACAGGAAGCGGGGAGTTCGAAGAGATCACAAGGAGCCTTTGGCAGATAAGACATACACTATTTACTGGCACACAAGTCACTAGGCAGGCAACAACAGGCAACCAAGTACATGCTGGCACACATGGACTGCGTACAGGCTGGCATAGACACACCTGTATACTGGCACACAGTCTAAATGGAAGTAGGCCCACAGGCCAAGAGAGAGACACACACAGGCTGGCCGGTGACAGCAAAGGCTAAGGCATCTGACCTAATGGTCACATTTATATAAAGCCCACACGAAAGTGACGTTCTGCCAAAATATTACATAATAGATTGTATCACTGTTTACTTTTGGGTTTCCTGAATATCAAGTGTGATTCATTCTTAGCTGACTAAAGTAGCCAGTTTCTTGGCTAAATGTCAAAATGTCCTTGGGCCTCTTAGCAACATACTCTGTTCCAAATGCTCTGTAGGTTTCTTGAGATTTCAAGCTCTTTCATTTTTTTGTGGGGGAGGGCAGCTCTCAAGAATTTTAGGTTTCTTCGGCTCTCAGGTCCTATAGCTTTGAAGGCCCACTACTAGATCTCTAGGATATGTAGAATTTTTTCTTTCAACATATTTATTGAAGTTTTGAGGATATCATGCAGCACATTTTAATCATATTTAGATCTTCCCTGTTTGCACCCTCCTATAGCCCACCCACAGGATTTCACACATTCTGCCTTATATGTTAAAGCCTATAAAGACAGGTTTGTGTACCTAGCAGTCTTTCAAGTGTGAGCTCTTCCTCTGGAGCCTCTTCAGCCTTTCTAGCATCACTCCCAAAAAGAAGACCAACACTCACTCAGCAGTTATCAACTACCAATAGTTCCTTGACTAAGTCTGGGGCCTTCTGCCTATTTCCAAGTTCTATACTGTTTTTTACCTGACTGAGTTTGTATGGGTCTTGTGCATGCTGTCATCATTGCTGTGAGTTCATATGAGCAAGTCCCTAGGAACCTGTAAGACTGTTTCCTTATGGTCATGTACCATCCCTGGATCTTACAATCTTTCTGGCCCAGCAACTTTTCTGCAATGGTCCCTTAACCCTGTCTAGGTTATGTTTAATATAGGAGTCCTAGCCAGGGACACGCACTCTGTAGTCTCTTATTCTCTACACTTTGGTCAGTTGCAACATTCTGGGTTCTTCGCCCTCTGTTGCATGAGGAAAATTCCCTGATAAGAGTTGAGAGATGTAGTATTCACTCTAACACTGGTTCCACTATGTTCCCTGAGCCTTAGGTGTAGAGATTCTATTGTTGATGTGTTACTTAGGGTTGGGCAACTCACAGACACTTATTATGAATTCATGATTTTGTACTAGAAGCTTATTTAATTAGTGGAAAGTAGTATACATGTGTGTAAATATAAAGATCCATATTTAGCATATAGTAAGAAATTAAGTTTGTGTAGGGATGTGACAGGCTTAGGGTTTCCTCCAGAATCTAGGACCAATACAGCCATGTGTATTTGGCTATGCTTACTGTGCCACACATGAGACCCCTCCCATTGAGCATACTTTAAGTCCAGTTAGACAGCTGTTGATTACCCTCAAGATAAAAGTGCCACTGCTGTACCTGTGTAGTTTGCTGTGCCGATCATTGCTGTGGTTATGCTTTAAAGGTGGGGTTGGACCATTGACTGATTTTCTCCCTTAGAAGCTAGCATAGCGCCCTCCATAAGTATGAGAGCTAGTCTTCAGAGAGGAGGCTTCTAGGTCAGTACTGGCTCCATTGCTCCAAGTCCTGTGTCAGAAGTACATCCTATCTTAAGCAATAGGGTCTTGCTTTCAGTTATGGGAGGTAATCAAGGGCTGTGGCAATAACCTGTGTCATTTTTCATGTCTCTTGGACCACCCTGACCAACAACTCGAAGGAAGGATCCTGGCACTGTGCCTGCCTGGCACTGTGTTTCCTGTTACATAGCCTTCAGCTATATACATGTACTCACGTACCAATATTGTACATGTATATTCCAGTGAACTTTTAACTAATTCATTTCCCTCTGGTTTTTCATACCACCTAAGCATTATCTAGCTCTAGCTGCTCTCTCTCTCTCTCTCTCTCTCTCTCTCTCTCTCTCTCTCTCTCTCTCTCTCTCTTTCCTCTCTCCCTCTCTCTGTCTAACCCACCCTCCTCCATCCCCATTTAAATACCTCCTCTTTTCCAATTCTCCCCTTGAAATCCCCCCTCCCCTTTTGAGCTACTTCTTCCCGTTTACCTCCGTGGTTCCTGTATATCCTTCCCATTTCCCTTCCCTGTTAAATATCCCTGTTTTCCCATTTCCCCCTTTGTAACATTTGTCTCCTACTAGCTCCCTCTGTTGGGTTCTTTCTTGCCCTTTACTTCCATGGTTCCTTTCCATTTCCCTGGCTCCTGGGATTACCAGGTTAAATACTCCCATGAAAGGATTTGGTGAAAAGATCCACAAATGAGGGAGAACAAACATCACTTATTCTTCTGAGGCTTTGTTACTTCACCTGCCATAACATTTGTAGTACTATCCATTTACCTGCAAATTTCATGATTTTGTCTTTTTTTACAGTGAGTAGAACGGCATTATGTAAATGTAACACATTTTCATTATGCATTTAGCATGTGAGAGACATTTAAGTTGTTTCCATTTCTCAGTTATTGTGAAAGGAGCAGCAGC